AGCCCTATTGATAGTTAATGATTAAAAATTCTAATGTTGTTGTCATTAGATTATAAGAGCAATTTATAATTAAATTAATCAGTAGATATTGTTGTTATGTGAAAGCAGGAACTGAAATAAATGTATGAAATGAAATTAACATTTAAAATCTGTAATTAATTATGAAATTAAATTAACGATTTCAAATCCTTACGGATAGCAAATTAATAATATCTACTGATGTCACTTAAATTATAAGAGCAGTTATGGAATTGATCACAACGTAGCATTAAAGTAATGAGGACGAGAACCATAATTAATTGTTAATAAAACAACAGTGTTTAAACTGGTATAGTAAACAAGCTGAAGGGGAAAGGACGAACCTTTAAACGACTGTGAGTCTGTGAATGGGACTGTGAATGATTAAAACTAACTGTGAGATCGCTAATCTGATGGTTGGTTCAAATCGCGTAACAGTTACAGTAAGGTTCATTAAGTTTGAATCTGTCAACGTTCTTTTCAATGGGAGGAGAGAAGAGAGAAGGACGAAAAGTGTAAAAGAGAGCGATGAGGTGAAAGAACCCACTAGTGTGAGAGTTCAGATAAAAGTTCAGATACAAAAGCTTAGATCACTTCAACATTTCAAAACACTGCATTCAAGACCACAAGATGATACCGAATGCTAACCGCTAGCCTTCAATGCTAATAGCTTTGCCTAGGCTTCAATGCAAACTCATTAGCTTCAGTTAGCTTAGCTCATGCTAGGCTTATTTGTTTACAAACAGCTCGAAAATGGCACTGGCGAACTGCGCTTGCCCTCTTGATAGTTACTCCGGAAAAGGTTTCTTAGAACTTCCGGGTTACGGGTGTCACTATGGCAACATGCTTTGCAATAGCTAGCATGTGCTACACACAGTCTATGGTTACAAACAGTTTACGCTCTTCACGTGAAATGGCGGCGCATTTCACACTGAACAACCAAAAAGCACTATTGAGGTTCTTATCTTTATAGTGCTGAACACTCAACTCGTTCGAGTGAGGTAAATTAATGTACAGATTTTCAGCAATTAATACAATGTTTTTGGGATATCGGCGGATCTCTGCACTTAGTCTATTTATACAGACAAAAGCACAAATGGATTTAACCACAATCTCCCATAAAATAACGTTCGGGTACTCTGAGCACCGCGTTTTCAAGTTCACTAGTTTTAGTGAATAAATGGCAAGAGAGCATTAATTAGCTAAGTTAATTCTCAAGCCGGGAGATGAATAGCCTGACTGGAAGTGGGACACGCACAACACATCAAACTATGAATGCCTTTTAAGAGAAAGAAAAACAAGGAACACGCTTGATTCTCTCTTCGTGCACTTTTAGAGCGACTTCGTTTTTTGTCTCGACAGACAAAATTTAAATGTTTTACTGCAGTTCACTTCTTTAAACGACTCGAGTTGCACATTCAACACGCTGGCATGCCACAATAATGTATACAGTAACACAACAAACTCTGTTTCTCTGTATCTAATCTATTTTTCCGGATAAAAATAGAAAAGATTCAACACAATAATGTCTTGTTTTTTATTAGATTTTTTTTAAAACCACTTATGCTCATGGCGTTTTTTGTTATTTTCGCCTAAATTTGACATACTCAAATTCAAATGTTTACCCTACACACATACAATGGAGGAAATCAAAAAAAAATGGTTTCATTGTAAAGAAAACCCTTTGAACTACAACATATGAGTGTAATTCTTTATAAATAACATTATATATTTTTCAAATATTACAATAAACACAAAAAAAA